CCTGATAGAGAAACATCTGTTGCTGCCTAACTCTTATGAGTGGGAGGCAAGGGTCTTCACCTCTAGGCCACTGCACCACTCAGTTAGGGCTACTACCATATTCAGACCATATTCTGACTCAGAATATTCATATTTAGACTGTCTATATAACATCTTCCAACAAAATGCAAACTTTATCAAAAGCACTTGATCATTCAAACAATACAAGCTATGAAAAGAATATATTACCATACATAAAAAGGCTCAGATACAATCAACACACTGTTACAATCACACAGAATCACCATAGCACAGAAACAATGCTTTGGAGAATAAATTGACCCCCTCTTCTTTGTGGCAACCCCTGAGATGTTGGAATGCTGCTATCATGTCATCCCTAGTCCTTCTTTTCATAAGATTAGACATTCCCAATTCCAGCAACCGTTCTTTATATATTTTAGCCTCCAGTCCCCTTTCTAGAGTCTCAACACTTGTGGGAATCTAAAGACACTAGTTGATTTTATGATATTAATCTAGCCCAGGGGTCAGCAACCCGTGGGTCTGGAGCTGCATGTGGCTCTTTCATCTGTCTGCTGCGGCTCCCTGTCGCTCAAAATATTCATCACAACTGCCAATGTGCGACACCCAGCGATGCACAATTTATTAAGCTTTTCGACCCCTAGTAGGCCAACCATGGATAAATCCAAGAAAAGAAAAGTTTCAGATGAAAACAGAATGTTTAATTCAACTATATATGCTAATTTTGTGGCCACTCAGGAAATAGTCAGGCACGGGAAGAGTTTTGTGGCTCCTAGTATTTTCTTTTCTGTTGGAAACAGGTCCAAATGGGTCTCTGAGTGTTTAAGGTTGCCGACCCCTGATCTAGCCCAAAGGGTCCAGCCAATGGGTCATGGATCTGTCTACAGAACATGGTGTCCCCAACTCCACAGCCAAAGCTTACAACCATTGACTGGGATAGTGTTTTTTCAAAATTGATAACTTTAGCATATATGCGCTTCAACTCTCAGAACTACCTGGTCAACTGTGAGTGAAGATCCCCACCTCTTAAAGTTGCCAAGTTTGAAAAACACTGCAATAGAATAATATCTTTGAGGCATTCTCAGTCTACCAAATTACAACATGCTTTTTAAACGGATTTTAAAAATGGTACCTTTTATCTGAACTATTTCCTTTTCTCAGTCAAAATTGTATCACATTCAGAAAAAGCACCACACACTTCTTCCAAAATGCTGCATTATTTTACAATATACATTTTCCCTTCCAAAAGCTAAGATATCCACATCTCTTTAAATGTTAATTGAACCAATCTGGCACCGAACACCACTTACCAAAGCAACAGTTTTATGCAACAAAAGTAAGTGCACAATAAATGCATTTTTAGCTTTCAAGTACTTTCTCCTGTTCTTTTACCATTTTGCTTTTCAAATTTCAGTTTCTTGTGGTGGTAGCGTGTAGGCAGGAAAATTAGCTGTACTGTCACCCAAATAATAGAAAATCCTTGCCTTTGATCTGTTTTATATTTATTCAAAATTGCTACATTGATGGAAGGGAAATGGTACCTATTTTGTGTTCTAACATGTGTAGTCAGAGCAAATAAGGTAGATTGGTATGTCTATTTATAACTGGTACTAACAATTGGCAACTTTTTTAAAATCATGAATATTTGGCAAACACAGATTGACAGGAGTGATAAAAGCCCAAGCTAAGTACATCTCTCTGTGTGTCTGTATGTGTTGTGTATACACAGTACGTATATACTGTATAGTGGAAAGTGTGGATTATAAATTAATGGTATTTTTTTGTTTTTACTTTAAAAAAGTCCTTGTTATGTTTTAAAAAAAGCCTTAAAAAGTGATACACTGAAACAATAGCGTTTGGTGGAGTCTACTGTGAAAGTCTTTAACCAAGGATGCAAGTGGATTTAATTCTAGCCTGATTAGATTTCTTAATTATTTTTAGGCAAGGATTAAAATCTGAGTTGGGGAATATAGCTATTCTCTCTCTCTCTCTCTCCCTCCCTCCCCCCCTCTCTCTCCCTCCCTCCCTCCCTCCCCCCTCCTCTCTCTCCCGTCCTCCTGCTTTCTTCCTTATTTTGGAATTTCCCCCTTCTTTCTTCCTTTTCTTTTATTAGCATTCCAATTATGAGAAGCCCATCCAGAATTCTTACTCAAGACTCAAATAATGAGGCTCAAATATATCTGGGTATATTATGCAAAGATCTAACTCTTTGGAGAAGGCTGTGATGCCAGGAAAGATGGAAAGAAAGCGATGAAGAGGACAACCAGAAGCAGGGTGGATGAAATCAATGGAACCAGTGATAGTATACCATTGGAAGACATGAAGGACCAGGTTGGGGGCAGATCATCATATAGAAAATCTATTTATGTGGTCACTAAGACTCAATGATGACAGAACGGCACATAATCAATTAAAATATTATGAGAAAAGAGAAAAGTGGAAGACATTATCTCCTTTTTCTCTCTTCTGTCTTTTGAAGATCTTACTGCTTTGGGGAAAGTTGTTCTGTCCCTAAAGATCTTTGGGCTGGAAAAGTGATCTCCAAACACAGATTGGTTTTTTAAAAAACATACCGTGTTTCCCCGAAAATAAGACCCTGTCTTATATTTTTAACCCCCAATAAGCACTTGGCCTTATTTTCGGGGAGGTCTTATTATTTTGGGGTGCATGGAGCAAGATGGGGCTCCTCTTGCCGTCTTACCTGATTTCCAGCTCTGTCTCCCTAACCCTAACCAGAGGAAATGGCAGGGACCAGCTGCACATGCGTTTTAATATTTTCAGGAGGGGGAATTTTCAGGGGGGAGGGCTTATTTTGGCGTATGCGCTCAAAAGCCCAATTGGGCCTATTATCCGGGGAGGTCTTATTTTCAGGGAAACAGGATATGTTTTTGGATTTTACTTTTTAAATAGTTCGGATTATTTTGAGCCAGTCTATAGTGAGACAGGGATGTGGTGGCTCATTGGCTAAGATGCTGAGCTTGTCGATCGAAAGGTCGGCAGTTCAGCGGTTCGAATCTCTAGTGCCACGTAATGGGGTGAGCTCCCGTTACTTGCCCCAACTTCTGCCAACCTAGTAGTTTGAAAGCACGTAAAAAATGCAAGTAGAAAAATAGGGACCACCGTTGGTGGGAAGATAACAGCATTCCGTGTGCCTTTGCCATGTAATCATGCCGGCCACATGATCACAAAGTCATCTTTGGACAGCGCTGGCTCTTCGGCTTTGAAATGGAGATGAACACTGCCCCCTAGAGTCGGGAACAACTAGCACATATGTGTGAGGGGAACCTTTACCTTTACCTTATAGTGAGACAGTGGGAAGTTCTCTGTCTTTTACAATTATTTGAGTAATTCTGGAAATGGAATTGCAAGCTGTTTGCATGGGTTCATTTGATCTATTCTGTAGAAATTTCTTTTTGGAAAAGTAATATTTGAAGGTGTCATGACTCATGACTCTTTGCTTCAAACTTGGCTTTTATATTAGGATTGAATATATATTCCTGACTCCAAGGAAACATTTAGCCATAAAATTAGAAACTTCTAGACAAGATTCTGGAACACAGACAACGAGTAACAGAGAAGTGAGCTTGGCTTGCCCTGCCCTGCCACATCAGTCAAAAGCTCTATTGTCACCTCTGGGATTGCTGATCATGTCAAGATTTTATACACACTGTTGTTTTGTCAGCTGATTTATGGGCTCTATATGGGCCATTGAGCGCCAACTTCAAAATTACATTTGTTGAAATCTTAGATTCTTAGATCCAAAGCAAATATTGGCATCACTGCACTGGCACTGCACTGTATAATCTATAGAGAGTAGGATAGATCCTTGAGTCAGGATATAAAAGACATTTCTTAGCAGAAAGATCCAGTCTGCCCTCTGATCCTAATTAGATTTTGTCTAATTCGTGTTGCTCTCTTTGTATTTTGTATGTTTTTGTATCTTCATTATATTTAGATTAGTCTGTTTCTCTCTGGGCATGCTACAGGTTTCACTCACAGATAAATTCATCTGATGCCACAATGCAACATTTTCTCATTGTAATGTGATTTTGAGGTCCTACTGCAGCTTTTGGAAGAACATTTTAATTTTTAGAATATAACTAGGTAGGCAATGGATTATATTCTAAAACCCAATCTGCATATTATGAGAATGAATTCAATAAACACCATTTCTCTACACTGGATTCTTCAGCACACATGAAACTAAGCTATGAACTTCAATATGATGTGATATTTTCTGTAGCTAAATCAGTGGGATCAAATGGCAAGAAAAGTCAATTTTCTTTCAGAATCTTAAAAAAAACCCAGCCACCTAGGGTTTTTTCCAGTTTAGCAAGCAGGGACCAAAATGTTACCAACTCACATTTCTGTATTCTTGTGACATGAAACCAAAGTGAAAAACTATCAAGTGGAAGAAATAACAATAAAAAAGAACAAATGTCCTTTTTTTAAAAAAAAAAAAAAAGTAAGAAAAGTGACCAATACAATGTCTCAAAAAAGTTTGTCTTGTTTTTTCAAGTAAGGACTCCCAGATTGAGAGAGAAAGTGATTTATTATCTTTTCCCCCATCGCAAGTGTATACATATGTATGAATACGGGTCTGTACCTTACCAAGATGCTTCGGAAATTCAATCTATCATCCACAAAAGTATGTATGTTATGGAAATTATGCTGGGCTTAATTATACTTAATGTGAATTATTCAAAGCATAGCAGGGAGACGGGGGAAAAACATACAAAGGAGCCTGACATTTTAATTGGTCCTTCAGAACAGACAAAACAATTTCCTCTCCAGGAAATTTACATCTCTCCCATCAAAACAGTTGCCTCATGTGAGCAGAACTTCATTAACAAGATTAATTATCATGCCGGTGCCTGCTCATCAGGTGTGCTAGTCAGGTGAAGAGGTGAACGCAAGGGAGAGAAAGTTAAGGATCGGCAGGGATTCCAAAAAGGAAAGAAGATATAGAAAGAACATCTTACCTTGATCATTAGCCATTTTGTCAGGATGTTCCACTGCAAAGCAAATACAATATTGTCAGATTTTTGACACTTTCTGGGATGTACATTGACACATCAAGTCAACAATTCTGTTAACCAAGTTTTATTTCAAGATGGTGCCACTTCACACTTTTCCTTGGCAGATTGATGGGCAGAAAAGGCGAGATTTTAGCATTTCTCAGAGTCATTTTGAGGGTCTGGAAACACAAGTGTGACTTGGATCATCTGTGACTCATTACTAATGAAGTTAGATGTTGCTTTTCTGAATGGGGGAGTAACCCACATTGTTTTCCTTTTAGATGTGAGGTATCATCTGGAAAGCTTAATTAAATGTGAAAATGAGATGGAAAAGAGATTGTTCCTTTGAATAATTAGACATGAATCCTCCTGTGTGATAGTTCTGAAAGCTAGTTCTAAAAGCTAGTTTTGACTGAAGTAGTTAACATTTTAAGCCCTTTCAAAAAGTGATCTTGCTGGCTTTTCATGATAATTATCAAAAGGAAGATTCAATTACAAAGGGTCCATTGAAATGCCTAAGATTTTTACATATTGCTGGAAGTCCTGAAGTACAGCCACAAACTCTTTATTAAACTGTAGACAATAACCGAAACCCAAGTTCAAAATCACATGGAATTCTAAACACTATCCTATTGTTTCAAAACCCAAAGGTGCTTTTCCAAAATGGCTTTCTTGGGTTTTTTGTTCCCTTGAAAACATTTCGCTTCTCATTCAAGAAGCTTCTTCAGTTCTGAAGAAAAGCACCTTTGGGACAACCAGGATTTGGATGATTGAGAATCTCCATGGACATATTGTTTCAAAATATTTGACAGAAGTAAAAAAAAAAAAAAAAAAGGTTTCCCAGGCATTTTGCCTAACAATGCTGTACAGCAGGGGTGTCAAACTCAAGGCCCACAGTCCGAATCTGGCCTGTGGGAGCTTAGATCTGGAAATAGTGAAGGACCAGCCCGTAGTGCCTCTGCCAGCAAAAATGGAGCTTGGGAGGGTCGCGCATGGCTCTCCTGAGGTCCTTTTTCAGCTGCGACAGCTTCCTCCAGCCCTCTGTCAGTGAAAACAGAGCTCAGGAAGGCTGCGCAAGACCCTCCCGAGCTCCATTTTTGCTGGCAGAGTGCTCGGGCCACCACAGGCGCCCCTCAACACGAGTGAAGTCATGCTAACCACACCCACCCTGGCCATGCCCACCCAGCCCCCCTGAGGTCAATCACAACCGTGATGCGGCCCTCAATTAAATCGAGTTTGACACCCCTGCTGTACAGTATCTCTCTTTGTCACCCATGTGTCAAAGAGACTTCTGAATAGGACAATCACTGGGCCCTGATTGTCTAATCTTGTTCCTCTTCACTCTCTTCCTATTCAAATCATAGGACACTTCACATGATCTTCCTAGAGCTAAATTAACTCATCTTCATCAGTGATGGGTTGCCCCTGGTTCGGACCGGTTAGCAAGAACCGGTAGTAAAACTGGTGGGAGGCCCCGCCCACCACCCCGGATGTCCTCATCGGAGATTCGGTGAATGCGGAGAAGCAAGGCGTGCGTACGAGCAACGCTCGCGCTCACACAATCCCGTTGTGAACCGGTGGTAAAGGTAAGTAGAACCCACCCCTGATCTTCATGATTCCTCATAGTATGTCAAAGAGACTATCTTCAGCTGCTACAGAATGCAGCAGCACTGGCAGTTATGTGTCTCTTAGAATAGAGCATGTTATACTCTGCTTCACAAACTACATTGGTTGCCAGTTTGTTTCTGGGTCATTTTCTCCATTTGTTTGCACTGCATTTTTTTGAGTTCTACTGAGGAAAACCTTCAAGATCTAAGTATTTAGGAACTGTTTTCATATGATTAAAGAAAAACATGTATTGTAGTCAGGCAGGGACAATCGGGTTTTTCTACTTTGCTTTTGGTAGGGTTTGGGTTGGTTTTTTTTTTGAGGGTGGGTTTCAGTTCTGCTTTGGCATTTATAACAATTAACAAGGAATTTGTCTTGGTGCATATGCTCTCAGTACATAAAAAAAATGGGATTTTTGTCCGAGAAATGACACAGTGAGATCCACTCAAGTTTGAAACTTTATTTGTGTATACCAAATAGACAGACTCTTGCAAGGTTAAAGCTATATAACCTTCTAACTTAATAAATATATTGCTGTTGCTCAACTGCTAAGTTGTGTCTGATTTTTCATGGACCACAGTATGCCAGGCCCCCCTGTCCTCCAGTGTCTCCCAGAGCTTGTCCAAATTCATATTCATTGTGTCAATGATACTATCTAACCATCTAATTCTCTGCTGACCCCTTCTCCTTTTGCCATTAGCCTTTCTCAGCATCGGGGGCTTCTCCAACATGTCCTCTCTTCTCATTTAGGTGGTCAAAGTATTTGAGCTTCAGCTTCAATATCTGTCTTTCCAAAGAAAAATCAGGTTTATTTTTTTAGGATTTATTGGTTTGATTTCCTGGCAGTCTAAGGGACTCTCGAGAGTCTTCTCCAATGCCACAAAACCTAATAAATATACCCTGGGAGATTTTAGAATGTGGCTATCCTGAATCTTTTCTTGCTCCCATTTTCAGTTAAGGATTGCACAGTCTTTTTGGATTTGGTTAAGATAGCGATGTAAACTCTTTTCAAGAAAGATAATATATTTGCCTTTTTTTTCTGTTGGGATGTTGCTTCTTGTGGTTATGCTCGAAATGGGGGGGGGGGAATGAAATTTAGAATTTAGTTTGAAGAATTAATAATTACGCAGTTATAGAACCAATGTTATAATTTAGGTAATGTAAAAGATAGGGGTTGTAAATGTATTAGTATTTTACTGTGTTGGAAAGAGTCAGAAATCATTTTTTTCTTTTCCCCCCTCTTTTCTTTCTCCCCCCTTTTTTGCTTCCCCCTCCTTTTAAAAAACTATTTTCATTGTATTGTATGTTATTTATTTATTTATTTATGTAATTTATATGCCGCCCTTCTCCTGAAGGACTCAGGGCAGCTTACAAAGAAAACATTCAACAAATTCGAAAATTACATAAAAATTAAAATCCAATTAAAAATTAATTAAAATTATTTCAATGTAAAAATCCCCCAACGGATCAGCCCATTTGATGAAAGAGCGACGTCTTCAGTTCGCGGCGGAAGGAGAGGAGGTCGGGGACTGTCCTAAGCCCGGTGGGCAACCTGTTCCAGAGGGTCGGCGCTCCCACAGAGAATGCTCTCCCCCTGGGGGTCGCCAGCCGACATTGTCTGGCTGATGGCACCCTGAGGAGGCCCGCTCTGTGGGAGTGCACAGGACGATGGGAGGATGGCAGGAGATGATCCTGCAAGTACCCCGGGCCTAAGCCATGTAGGGCTTTAGAGGTGAGCACCAGCACCTTGAAATGGACCCGAAGGACCACCGGCAGCCAGTGCAGCTCGTGCAGGAAAGGTGTCACACGGGAGTAACGAGAAGCCCCCGTAACAACCCACATGGCCGGGTTATGTTATAATAACCCTTATATATTACTATTATAAATGAGATTGAACATATTAACAGAATAACAGAGCTAGAAGGGATCTTGGAGATCTTCTAGTCTCATGATGGCGAACCTATGGTACACGTGCCACAGATGGCACGCGGAGCCATATCGGTGGGTACGCAAGTGTTGCCCTAGCTCAGCTCTGGTGCACATGCGTGCGCTGGCCAGCTGATTTTTGGGCCTTCCAGGCCCACCGGAAGTCAGGAAATGGGCTGTTTCCGGTCTCATGAGGGCCTCTGGAGGGGTGGGGAAGGCCATTTTTGCCCTTCCCAGGCTCCTAGAAAGGCTCTGGAGCCTGGGGAGAGCGAAAACGGGCATACTGGGTCCACCGTGCCAATGTGTGCCAAAAGCATGGGGAGCGTGGGGGAGGGTCACGTGTACATGCATGGGGGGCAGGGCACATTGAATTATGGGTGTGGGTACACATGCGCATGACCCCCCCGCGCTCCCCCCGCTTTGGGCACATGACAGCAAAAAGGTTAGCCGTCACTGTTCTAGTCCAAGCCCTGTGCTCAAGCAGGAGACCCTATACCCCTAATGGCAAACCTATGGCACGCGTGCCACAGGTGGCACGCAGAGCCTTCTCTATGGGCATGCACACTGTCACTAGCTGCTCTTCTGGCTTCCAGTGTGTGCATGCGCTCCGGCCAACTCATCTTTGCCAGAGTCCAGTGTGCCAGAGTCCCAGAAACCTGAAGACCAGCTGGCTGGTGCACATGCGCATGTGGTCTTTGGGTTAATGTGCTCTGGCACGCACAAAGACCAGTGTGAAGATACATGTGTGCACCGGAAACCAGAAGTGCAGCTGATCTTCAATTTTCTGGGGCTCCGGGGCTCCGGTGTGCGTGTGTGCACATGTCCGTTCCAGTTTGGGCACTTGGTGCCAAAAGATTCATTATCACTGCCCTATACCATTCCAGACAAGTGGCTGTCCAGTCTCTTCTTAAAAACGTCCAGTGTTGGAGAACTCAAAACTTCTGTAGGCAAGTTGTTCCACTGATTAATTGTTCTCACTGTCAGGAAATTTCTCCTTAATTCTAGGTTGCTTCTCTCCTTGATTAGTTTCCATCCCTTGCTTCTTGTCCTGCCCTCAGGTGCTTTGAAGAACAGGTTGATCCCCTCTTCTTTGTGGCAGCCTCTGAGATATTGTCTGGGCTCCCTTTCTGGAATATGCTGCCTTCTCTCTGGGAAACAGGATGCTTCTGACAACATTCCCCTCACTTCAGCTACTCATTCCATCACAACAAGGGATTAAAAAAGTATTACAGTACCTATTTTAGATTCAAAGATTGTTTTACATCCTTCCCTCCATCCTACAATTGGCATATAAAAGATTTCCCAAGTTTAGAAATACTAATGAGATGGAAAGATAAATTGGAGGGGGAAAGTCCGGTGTCACATTCAAATTTCAGTTCAATGTTGAAAGATAAATACTTTCACATAACTTTCCAGTATCAAATTCAAGTCATCAATCCAAAAACGCATCTTTAATAGATCTA